CTGCTGCTGCGCCAGCAGCTCCAGGTCACAGGTAGGAGAACCCGGCTGGGCTCGGGGGGGGGGGGGGGCAGACGAGCACTGGGATGCAGGGCTGCAGGGAGCGCCGCCCTCTGGGTGAGCGGGAGGCAGGGCTGGAGCTCACAGCGGTGGCCGAGAGCCGGGCGGTGAGGGGGACGCAGCTCAGGGTGCTGCCGTGCCCTGCACAGCTGGGGCAGCTCCTTCCCAATCCCAGCTGTCATCGGGCTGCAAACAAGTGGCAGGATATTGTGGATGCATTTCCCAACCCGGCACCCAGCGCTCACGGCTCGCGCTCCAGCTCTGCTCCCCTCCTCATCCCCCGGCACCGGGCTGATGCCGCAGGGCCGCCCCTCACCTCTCCTCCTTGCAGGCAACGCCACCGAGAGCGCCGACGACATTTTCTTCCGCAAGGCCAAGGAGGGCATGGGAGCAGACGAGGCTCAGTTCAGCGTGGAGATGCCGCTGACGGGCAAGGCTTACCTGTGGGCAGACAAATACCGGCCCCGCAAACCGCGCTTCTTCAACCGCGTGCACACGGGCTTCGAGTGGAACAAATACAACCAAACGCACTACGACTTCGACAACCCCCCGCCCAAAATCGTGCAGGGCTACAAATTCAACATCTTCTACCCCGACCTCATCGACAAACGCTCGACGCCGGAGTATTTCCTGGAGGCCTGTCAGGACAACAAGGACTTCGCCATCCTGCGCTTCCACGCCGGGCCTCCCTACGAGGACATCGCCTTCAAGATCGTCAACAGGGAGTGGGAATATTCCCACCGCCACGGCTTCCGCTGCCAGTTTGCCAACGGCATCTTCCAGCTGTGGTTCCACTTCAAGCGCTATCGCTACCGCAGGTGAGGGGGGCTCCGCATCCCCCTGCAGCCTCACGTGGACTGTTTTCCTTTCCTCCTTCGCGTTTTATCCCAAGGACCTCTGAGACTTTGGCACAAATAAATAGGGGCTGTTTTATGGTGCGTTGTCCTGCGCGTCCACCCCCCCCCCCGGCTGGTGTTGTGCTGAGCAGCACTGGGGGCTGCACCATCCCACCCCTCCGTGCCGACGGCCCTCCTGCGGGCGCCCATCGCCTCCTCCCGGGGGCAGATCTCCATCTCCATCTCCATCTCCATCCGCGCCGTTCCCAGCGCTGCTGCACCCTTTGCTCCGCGGTCGCAGCCCTCGGTCTGCTGGGGCGTCAGCCTCGGGGGGGGGGGGGGGCGGGGGGAGGAGAAGGAGAGGGGTGTGAGATGTGACCGCGACATCTCCTTACAGGGGAAAATCCGCTTTCTGTGGCCCTCGGTCCCTCCCCCCGGCACTGGGCTGCCCGGCTCCGGGCTGGCCGCGCTCCTCGGCGCCCGCCAGATGCTGGTACGGGGGGAGGGCTGCACGGAGCGGGGGGGCACGGCCTGGCCTTGCACCGTCCTGTGCCGAAGGATGGGGGAGGAGATGCCGGCCGAACGAACGGCCTCCAGGAAACCTCGGCCGTGAACTGCTGCTCCGGGACGCTGCTTCAGCTTCCTCCCCCCGGAGCTCTCGGCATCCTGTCTCCCCGCTGCCCCCACACCGCTCTCCCCCCTCCGGAGCTTCTCAGCAGTGGGGCCGCCCCGCGGCTCAGCCCCTCCTGCTGCTCCGGGCTCCGCTGGCAGCGTCCGGCCCGGGGGGAAGCGGAGCTCAGGAGCCTCGCACGGCCAGGTGCCCGCATCTGCCCCACGGATGGGGGCAGCGGGGTGGGGGCGCGGCCGCCCCGTCCGCCCCACACATTTCCCATCCCTCCGGACATCTCCGGCCGCGTCCCCCCGGCCGCTCCTTCCTGCGCGCTATTTAAAGCCGTGGAGCAGCTGCCGCCGGGGTGGGGGGGGAGATCCTGAGGCCGGCGCAGGAAGCGCATGGAGGCCGCGGCGGAGACGAGATGGGAGAAAAAGGGGAAAAAGAAAAAAAAAAGAAAAAGAAAAAAAGAAAAAACCGAGAAAACATCACAACCCTCCGTGCTTCACAGCGCACAGCCCCTGCGCTCAGCCCGTGCGGGGCCGATGCTGCCCGCCGTCCCATTCCGCGTCCCCGCGGTGCCACGCGTCCCTGTGGGGCGGCGTTGGAGCATCGCTCTGCAGCCCCAACTCGACCCCCCCGCACCCGCATCCTCTGCACCTGGGGGCCGCGGGGTCGCGCTTCGGTTCCATCCATGTGCCGCCGCCCCGAGGCGTGGGATCGGAGTGGTGGCACCGCGGTGGGCGTAAAGGACTCCTCGTGTCCTCCAGGGAGGGGTTCCAGCGCTGGGAGCGGGCGCCCGACGGGGGCACGGAGGGGTGGTCGTGGGGGCGGTCGCGTCCCCGTGTGCCGCACGGCAGCGGCTTCGGGGAGGCGCGGTGAACCCGCGTGCCGCGTCCGGCTCCGCTGCCGCGCCCCGATGCGGAGCCCCGCGGTGCCCACGGAGGGGTGCGGGGCCGAGGGGGGCCCTCGGGGTGGTGCAGCCGAGGGGTGAGGGCCAACCCCCCTCCAGACGCAGGAATCCGGCTCGGGTAAACAAGTGAGTAACCCGGATAAGAGCGGCCCCGCTAAATATAGCCGGGTACGGCGGGCACCGCGCGCCCCGTCGCCGCCCCGCTGCGCTGCTGGAGCGGGCGCAGGTGAGCCGCGTCCACGCGAGTCCCGCCCCACGCGTGTCTCCGTGCCACCCGTGGCAGCGCAGCCCCGAGCGCAGCGCTCGGCCCCAGCCCGGAGCGGTGCTGCGGGGCCGCGGGGGCCGCGGGGGGCTCCGAGCGGGGCGGGGAAAGGGGTCGGGACGGCTGGGGGGGGAGTTGGGGCCGCTCCCAGCCCGGCCCTTCCCCGGCGCCTCCAGCGGGGCAGCGCTGCGCCGATCCGCGCCGAGCGGAGCTCCGCTCTCAGCCGGACCCCCCCGCACCGCGACGGCAGAGAGGTACGGCGGGGGGACGGGGAGAGCGGCTGGGGGGTCCGGAGGGGTTCGGGGGGGGGCACGGAGAGGATGGGATGGACAGAGAATCCACGGGGGTGGGACGGACGGGTGGAGGGATCGGGATGGGGGGAGGGGGGATGGACGCACCGCGGCGCTGGGAACGACGGAGAGATGGATGGAGCGTCCGGAAAGGGCAGAGGGGTTGTGTGGGGCGGGGCGGGTGGGATGGGGGTGGGGGTGGGAACGGAGATGGGATGGGATGGAGATGGGAACGGGAGTGGGAATGGGAAAGGGATGGGCTGAGATGGGACTGAAATGGAGATGGGGATGGGGACGAGTTTGAGATGGGATGGGGTGGGGATGGAGCCTCGTGCCGTGGGTCACAATAAGGACAGGTGCTTTGTGTCACCGCCGGCGGCGCCCCACACCACGGGTGTCTCCTGCCCCGATGTCCCCTGGAAGTCCCCTCTCTGGGCTCCGTGGTTTTGATGGCTGTGGGTCTGGGGAGGGATGCTGGAGCTCTGCCAGCTCTGCGTGACGTGGTCGGTGCATTTCCCGTCCCGGCCGACGGCCTTGAGCAGATCCGCACCGAGGGCCGCGGGGACGGAGCACCCATCTGTGTCCGTTGGGTCATCGGGTGGGGGACACCACAGGGTGCATCTCAAAGCCAAGAGGAGAGCTGGGACACGAGGGACCCAAAGCGGGGACCCGCAGCTCTGCGCCCTGTGCTGCGCATCCCCAGAAAAACACCACCCCGACGCCAAAAACCCCATTAATGCCCGTTCCAGCCCACACTGGAGCTGCCAATGCATTTCAGGGCTGCAACTGAGGAGCAGAATCTGCCACACCGGCCCCTGTGCCCCCCAGTGGGGCTGAGGCACAACCTCAGGGTCTGTTCCCCACAGGAGCTGCCCCCACGCCGTAGATTGAGGACCCTCTGCCCCCACTCATCGATTCAAGCCTGTCTCCGTGCTGCTCTGCAGCTCTCTCTGTCTCAGTTACAGCCCTGCCGGTGCTAATTGAGCTCTCGTTAATATTTTATGCCCTCTAAGTGCAGCCCTGACAGCTCGTGGGGCTGTCCATCCCCATGTCCCCTCAGTGTCCCCAGGAGTGCAGGGCTGTCCCTGGCTGCGGGATGAGGTGTGGGGAATTGGGTGACCAGCAGTCCCACGTGGGGAGTGGGCCCTTCTTATGGGGCCCATGGGTGCCCTATGGGGCCGCTCAGCTGCCGGGGGATCCCATGGCTGGGGGTCCCCTGGGACGCAGCGTGGCATGGGGACACAGCTCCATCCAGGCAGCGACGGGACCCCACAGCCATAGGGCAGCACAGGAGTTTGGGGACGTTTGCAGTGATGGCCGCTGTGGGTCCTCCTTAAAGTTGTGGTCCTGAGAGGTGGCGGGGCAGGGGAAGTGGCATCCAGCAGCTCGGGGACAGGGTGAGCGGGTGGCACTCATCCCTGCCCTGGAGAAACGGGGGAGGCATCTGCTGCTTGGGTGCCCACTCCTGGGGGTGTCCATTCTTTGGGGTGCACAGGACCCCCGGGATGGGGTTGGGAGCAGCTCCGTTCCATCCCAGGCCGCCCCATCTGCAATGATTAGCAGTGACAAACTGCTCATGACAAAACCAGCTGCCCTTACGCTTCATGGCCCAGTGACAAAGCCTCAGCTCCAGCCAAGGATGGGAAACGTGAGAGCTGGCCCCATATCCCCACGGCTGTGGGGCTGGAATTGCTGGGCTGGGGGGCACGCGGTGATGCCGTGGGTGCTGCGTGCGCCGCGCAGCTCCGGGCGCGAACGTCCGCCTGCGGTCATCGCCACGTGGGCGCTGGCAACAGCCATAGGGATGGGGGGAGATGCTTTTAAGCTAATCCTGCCCCTGTGTGTGGGATCCAGCTGCATCCCTCCTCCCAGTCTGGCACACGGAGCCGGGGCTGCGTCCTCACTGCGCGCAGGGATGGGGGTTTGGATGCGGCCTCCCCCCCCCGGCACGGGATGGAGCCCAGCTGGCAGCACGCGCTGCTCCAAACGATGAGCACGTGGGGGTTGGTGGCTGCTGCCCCGGTGGCTCTCGGCCCGGTGACGCAGAGGGGACGGTTAATCCCGGCCAGCTGGAGGGCTGGGGCCTCAGCACCCCATGGGACACCCCACATCTGTGGCCTGTGAGTGGGGGACCTGCGTTAGGGTCAGGATCGGCGTTAAGGTTAGGGCCAGGGTTGGCGTTGGGGTCAGAATCGCCGTTAGGATCAGAGTGAGAGTTCTGGTCCCTAACGCTCCCCTGATCCCCGCAGAGCCCGGTGGGGGCAGCACCAAGAACACGCCATGGAGCCCAGTTTGGAGGGCGCCTGAGGCCACCAGGATGGAGTGGGGGGACACAGAGCCCCCCAACGTGAGCCTGGCCAGCCAACCCCACACCTGCTTCGGGGTGGTGAACCTCAGCCTCAGCCTCAATGTGACGCAGCCCAAAGCCATCGCCTCGCCGTGGTTCTCCACCGCCTTTGGCCTCATCGGGCTCTGCTCCAACCTCTTTGCTCTCTATGTGCTGCTCAGCTCCTCCCGTCAGCTCAGCAGCCGCTCGCGCTCCTCCTTCCTCGTCTTCCTCTGCGGCTTGGTGGTGACAGACTTCATGGGGCTGCTGGTGACCGCCGCCGTCATCATCCCGTACCACTTCACCAAGTTCAACTGGACCCAGGTGGATCCCGGCTGCCACCTCTGCAACTTCCTCGGCTTCTCCATGGTGTTCTTTGGGCAGTGCCCGCTGCTCCTGGGCGCCACCATGGCCGGCGAGAGGTTTGTGGGCATCAACCGGCCCTTCTCACGCTCCACCTCCGTCTCCAAGCGCCGCGCGTGGGCCATCGTGGCCACGGTGTGGGGCTTCTCCTGCGCCCTGGGGCTGCTGCCGGTGCTGGGCCTGGGGCGGTACACGCTGCAGTACCCCGGCTCCTGGTGCTTCCTCACTCTCCTGCCCGACGCCGGCAACGTCGTCTTCTGCCTTCTCTTCGCCCTGCTGGGCGTCTGCTCCGTGCTGCTCTCCTTCGTCTTCAACACGGTCAGTGTGGTCACCTTGTGCCGCGTTTACCACGACCGCGAGTCGGTGCAGCGGCGGCGTGACAGCGAAGTGGAGATGATGGTGCAGCTGGTGGGCATCATGGTCATCGCCACCATCTGCTGGATGCCGCTGCTGGTGAGGCCTTGGGCTTGGGGTGTCCCTGCTGGTAGGGCGCCGTGGTTCCTGGTGTCCTCTCCACGTCCCTCCTGGTGCCCCGGTGTCAATCCTGGGGGATTCTTGGGTGTCCCTCATGGTGGGGCTTTGATGTCCTTTGTGCCCCTCTTGGTGGGGTCCGGTGGTTCTGGTGTCCTCCCCACATCCCTCCTGGTGGATCCCTGGGTGTCCCTCATAACCCCTCCTGGTGGGGTCCCGTGGTCTTGATGTCCTCCCTGTGTTCCCACTGATGCCCCAGCATCCTTCCTGCTGGGTCCCTGGGTGTCCCTCCTGGTCCCTGGGTGTCCCTCTTGGTGGGGCACTGGTTGTCCCTCTTGCCCCTCCTGGTAGGGTCCTGTGGCCGTGGTGTCCTCCCCATGTCCCTCCTGGTGCCCATGACCCTTCTTGTTCCTCTTCTTGGGTGCCCCTCCTGATGGGGCTCCAGATGTCCCTTGTCTTGGTCTCGGTGTCCCCCCATGTCCTTCCTGGTGATGGCACAGGTCTTGGTGTGTCCTCCTGTCCCTTTGGGTGAGGTCCTTGTTCTCGGTGTCCCCAGATGTCCCTCATGGTCTTGGTGCATCTTCCCGTGCCCCCCTTTGTCCCTCCTGGGGTGCCCCCCCAGTGCCTCTCGAGGTGAAGCCCCAAGTTCCAATGCTCCCCACTGTCCCTCATGGAGATGCGCTGGATCCTGGTGTCCCCGTGGCTGAGACTCCCAGCCCAGATGTGCCTCCCCTTTCCCCCCCTCAATCCTTTGGGGCTCCCCCAAACTCGGCAGCCCCAAAAAGTGACCCCCCCTCCCTTCTCCCTCCAGATCTTCATCATCCAGACCTCCCTCCAGCAGCTACGGACGGGTGACCCCCTCCACGTGCTGCCGGGACAGACGCAGCAGCTGCTGCTCATCTACATCCGTATGGTCACCTGGAATCAGATCCTGGACCCCTGGGTGTACATCCTGTTCCGCCGCGCGGTGCTGCAGCGCCTGCACCCGGGGCTGCGCACGCGGCCCTCCCTGCTCTCCCTTTACCCCGTCCTCAACCCCTCCCTGCGCCGCAAACTCACCCAGGAGGGGCGGCTGCAGTAGTGGGGACCCCCTCCTCTCCCCCCTCCCCCTCCTCTATTGATTATGGAGGTTTTGTTCCGTTTTGGTTTTATTATTATTATTATTGTTATTATTTTTCACCTTGCAGCTGCAGGAGCTGAGCGCAGTGGGAGGGACGGGGTACCCAGCAGGGCAGCCATGGAGGCGTCCCCTCTCCCCTCTCCCCATCCTGCTCTGTGAGCTCCTAATAAAGCACAGCTTGTGCAGCACTGCGCGCCCCATGGGATGTGGGGACACACAGCGGCCCCACGCCTCCAGTCTGTGTGTGCAAAGGGCGACAGGTGGGACCTCAGGCAGCCACCCCCAGGTGGGAAACACGGAGGGGGGGGACCTGGCCGCCCCCCAGCTACTCCTGCCCACCCCGGGGGCTGCAGACGGCCGCCCACACCTCAGCCACGAACTCCTGGGGGAAGGCAAACTCTCCCAGCACTGAGTCGACGGCGCAGGCGAGCGCGGCGGCAGAGGGGCTGCATTTGGCCATCTCCACCATGGTCGCAGCTGCAGGAGGAGCGGGGTCAGGGGGGAGGTGGGTGTAGGGTTGGGGGGAAGGGGGAGCAGCACCCACCCAGCTCGCAGTCGCGGATGCCCATGTAGCTCTCCAGCAGGTCGTCCACGCGGCGCGCGGCCTCTTCCTCCACGGCGCTGGGCTGTGGGGGGGGGATGGGATGCTGAGCATGGGGTCACCCCGTGAGGCGCGTCCCCCCCGACTGGTGTGGGGGGTTCTGGGGGTGCCTTACCCCCTCCTGCAGCGTGGCCGGGCCCTGGGCACGCAGTCGCAGTGTCTCCTTCCCGCTGGACACTCGGCCTTCAGGTGGGCACTTGCTGCTGCTCCGCGTCCTCTGCCCGATCATGTCTGAGCCCCACAGGGGGGTGGGAGGGAGCCCAGGGTTGGGTGTCCAAGAAGAAAGGGCAACAGGGATGGAGGATGACCAAGGGTGTCCAAAAATGATGAATGTCCATCCAATGATGGACATCCCAGGGTGAGCAAAAACAACGCGGTGATGGGCAGCCAAGGTTGACCAAGAATGGGTGCGGGTGGACACCCAAGGGTGACCCATGGTGAATAACATGGACACCCAAGGGTGACCCATGGCAAACAATGATGGATCCGAAGACGATCCATGATGGATAACGATGGACACCCAAGGATGATGATGGACATCCAACAGTGGACATCCAGGGATAAGCAAGAATATCCAACTATAGATGTCCAAGGATGACCAAGAATGGACAAAGTTGGAGACTTAAGGATGACCAAGAACAGCCAAGGATGGAAGTCCAAGGCTCCCCCAAATGCTATGGGGCAGCACAAGGAAGGCACCGTGGGGGAAGGATGGGATGCACGTGTGCTTGTGGCTGCCCCAGGGCGGCCAACTAAGGGTGGTTGCAGAGGCAGCTCGGGCTGTGCAGGCACACGTGGGGCTGTCCCCTCATTCTGGTAGGGGTCTCAAAGCAGAGCAGCCCCCACCCCACTCACCGAAAGCCTTTTTGGGCTGCACCAGGCGCAGGGTGAAGGGCTGAGCGCGGGGCAGCTCGCGCAGCATGCGGGCCACCTCGTAGTGCCGGCAGCCCACGATGGTGTGGTCGTTGATGGCCTCGATGCTGTCGCCCACACACACCGCCTGGATGCGGTTGATGATGCTCCCCTCCTTGATCCGCTGGCGGAGGGGGGCACACGGTGACACCCCACCCCTCCACGCAGCGATTTCCTTTTCGGATTTAGGCAGGGAGACCCCAAAAAGCCCCGTACAGGGAGTCACCCCCAGGTCAGGGCAGACCCCCCCCCCCCCCAGCCCCACACATGTTCACCTTGATGAAGGCGTAGCCAGCGCCGTTGTCGGTGATGGTGAGCCCCAGCGCGTCCTCGGTCTTGGTCACCTCCACCTCCTTCGTTTCACCACGGACGTGGGCAAAGATGAAATCCTCCAGCCCGATCTGCCCCCCCAGCAGCTTCTGCATGTCCACCTTGTGCGTGTTGAGCGTGCAAAAGAGGATCTGCCCCCCAACGCCCCGTCACTGCTGCTGGGGACGACCCCGGCATCGGCGTCAGCCCCGGCCCCCGACCGCTCACCTCGGTGGGGGAGATGCCGAACACCTCGGCGATCTTCCCGTAGAGCTCCTTGACGTTGGTGAAGCCCTCGATGCGCCCCGTGGGGCTGCCGTGGGCCAGCTGGGTGCGGAACACCAGGCGAGGGCGGGCGCGGGGCGGCCGTGGGGCCGAGGTGCCCTCGGCGGGGGGCGGCTCGGGGACCCCCGGCTCCTGCCCCACGCCGTTCTCCATGGGGCGTTCCTCCCGGGCCTGCCTGCCGCGCCTGCCCGCCCGCCGCATCGCGCCGCTGCTGCTGAATTATGGATGGGCAGCCCGTAAGGCGATCCCGGGGGCTGGGAACCCGATCCGATATGCGGGGCCGTCCCGGAGATCGGGTGAGCGGTGCCACGGAGAGCCGCGGCCGCGTCCTGGATGTGGGGATGGGGTGGGAACGAGCAGCTCGGGGCCGCCGCGCTCAAAGCCATGGGGCAGCAGAGGGCGCTGAGCCGAAGGCGTGAGGATAAAGGAGAGGGGACAGCAGGACCAAGGGTGAGAGGACGGCGAGATGAAGGACGAGGCTGGGAAATGAGGACAAAGGGCACCCAGAGCTGCTCTGGAGCCCAGCCGGAGCACGAATTGCACAAACTCCAAAACGTTTTGGTTTTTTTTCTCCCAAATTTATTCACTCCCGTCTCCATCCCAAGCCAAGCAGCCACGAGATGGCAACCAGGAGATTCTCTACAGAAAGAGCACCGACCTTGCAGGCGACAGAAAAGGGTCAGAGCCCCGCCTGGGTTAAACCCAGGGAAGGAGCCACGTAGTGCTAGTAAGAAAATAAGACACTCTCTAATTACACGATCTGAGATTAGTGACAGGCAGCAGCAGGGCTGGCACGGCGGGGGGAGGACGCGGCCGCCGTCACGGTGGTCCCACGAGGCCAGGGAGGAAGGGCTCAAGGCCCACAACCCCCCAGCATGAAGGGGAAGGAGCTGCCCCTACTGGTCCCATAGCACAGAGAAGAAGGAGGGCAGGCAGGGAGCACAGAGCTGAAGGCACCCACAGGCAGCAGCGAGGGGAAGGGGGAAGATTAAATAAAGCAGCCACAGCCTGGAGACACCCCGGGTGAGGCTGCTGTGCTGCTCACAGGAGGGCGGGGGGATGCTCGTGTGTTGGTCCCCAGAAGCTCGAGGTCCTCAGGTGTCACCACTGCAGGGCTGGGGCCGCCCCGGGGTGCAGGGGATGCGGCCGGACCCCCAGCAGGGACTGTCCCTTGCAGGAGCTCCAAGGGGCAGCGCTGCGGTCCAGCCGGCCCCGAGCTCTGCAGAGACCGGTCCTCATTCACAAATGTTCACTGCAGAGACAGGAACGCAACGCCAAGCCACAGGAGTTCCGTCCTCCTGTCCCACAGCAACACGGGGACACCCCAACCCCCCCTGCAACCACGCCAGGACACAGGGACCCACCTGGCTATGCGGGACAGGATCTCCTTGATGCGGACCACCAGCTTCTCGTGCTGCAGCGGGTTGCTCTCGATGGCGCTGTGCAGCTTGGCCATGTAGAAATCCAGGGTGCTCAGCGTTGGGGTTTCCCCAGTGCCTGCGGGGCAGCAGCTCAGTAAGTCCCCATCCATACTGGGGTGAGACCAGGACGGTGGAGTCCCAGCTCGTGCAGTAGCAGAGCAGGCAGCGAGGCAGAACCAGGGACAAAGGTTTGGGTAACACCTCCCCTGCAGAGCTGTGCATCCAGAGACAAGCTCCCAGCCCATCCTCGCCCATTACAGGGAAGCCATCCCACCCCAGAGCGCTCCAGGGTCCTCCTCCCACCAGATGGGCACCCATCTCTGCCCCACTGATGTCCTTTTATGGTCCCTACTGGCACCGATGCCGCCCCACACTCACCAGGGATGGGGAGGGAGGCAAAGCTGGTGGTGAGCGCCTGCCGTACCGACTGCAGCTGCTGCTGCAGGGCCAGCGTCTGCCTCTCCTCCTGCGCCAGCTCCTGCTCCAGCTTCTCCTTGGCACAGTTCATGCTCTCCGTGTGCTTCTGCAGGATGGCGTTCTGCTCCTCAAACTCCGTGTTCATCTTCCGCAGGCGCCGCAGCTCGGCCTCCCGGGCTGCAGGGACAGAGTGGGATCAGAGGGGCTCAGCGATCCCCACCCCAAACTCAGCCCCTTCCCCAGCCCCACACCTTTGTTTTGGTCCAAGAACTCCTCTGTGAAGATGGGAACGTCAAAGGTGGAGAAGGCATCGCTGCACTCACCAGCCTGGGGGGCAGCAGGGCACAGGTCAGACAGCAGGACGCCGTGCCCCATCCCCGCCCTCACCCCGAGCACAAGGAGGAGGCAGGCAAGGGATGGCTGTGTGCCACCTCCTGCGGCTTCAGGCTCTGTTTCAGTGGGAATTGGAGTCCTGGAGCCCACCCTGGGACTCCCTCAGCCCCTCCTCACCCATCCCACAGGCCAAACCCAGCAGCACCACAGGCCTCAGTTTCCCCACGCGGCCTGCGGCGCCTTACCTTCTGAGGGTGCCCGTTCAGCAGGCTGTTTGCTGCCGCAGAGCTGGCGTCCTCTGGTAAAGAAGGAAGCAGGTTACCCCCAGGAGACCCCCCAGGATTCCCCCAGCAGCACCGGGCTGCATCCCGTGCAAGAGGCACCAACACAGCACACCTTTTTTGATCTTCTTCTCCTGGATTTTCTCCGTGCACATCTTGTAGGCTTCCGACTGCTGGTATTCCCGCAGCTCCTTCATGTACTGCTGCTTCTCCCGCTCTGCTTCGTCCAGGTAGCGCTACGGACACAGCAGCGCTCAGCCTGGCTCAGCCCAGCCCAGCAGCAGCTCCCCAGGGTGATCCCGTCCCACCCCTCGAGGCCCAGCAAACATTTTGGTGCCCAGACCCCGCGTACGCAAAGACCTCAGCTTCCAAACACACCGAGACGTGCGGCACAGCCACTCCCAGCAGAGGGGTGAAGCTCCCAGAAGGAGCTGGAAGGTGCAGGGACAAGGGACGCGCCGCCCCAGCCCAGAGAACTCCTGGTACCTGCTTCTCTGAGAGCTGCAGCTTGCTCCACTCAGCCCCCAGCATCTTGGTGATCTCTGGGAAGGGCAGGTCGGGGTGCTGCGTGCGGATCTGCTCGCGCCGCTCGTTCAGGAATCTCACATAGCCTGTCACCGGGGCCTTGGGGCCGTTGGGAAGGATCTTCTTCCTCTTCT